TGACGCTGTACTGACGCTGTACTGACGCTGTACTGACGATGTACTGACGCTGTATTGACGCTGTACTGACGCTGTATTGACGCTGTATTGACGCTGTACTGACGCTGTACTGACGCTGTACTGACGCTGTAGTGACGCTGTACTGACGCTGTATTGACGCTGTATGACGCTGTATTTACGCTGTACTGACGCTGTACTGACGCTGTACTGACGCTGTACTGACGCTGTACTGACGCTGTAGTGACGCTGTACTGACGCTGTATTGACGCTGTACTGACGCTGTACTGACGCTGTATATATGTGTATCGTTGCAGCACTGTAAGAACAGTCCGCGGTCGAACCTCGTCATAGAGATGTTCACGCCCGTCGTACAGCGCATCCTCAAGCACAACATGGTGAGTAAGCAACATCATCAACAACAACAACAACAACAACAACAACAACAACAACACTACGACCACGTCTTACCTCTACTTACATCATCATCAGTACCTGTTACTTCATCATCAGTACCTGTTACGTTATCATCAGTTAACAGGTACTGATGATGACGTAACAGGTACTGATGATGACGTAACAGGTACTGATGATGACGTAACAGGTACTGATGATGACGTAACAGGTTGATGACGGGTACTGATGATGACGTAACAGGTACTGAACGTATCATGTAACGATGTTACATCGCATGACATCACGTTACATATTATATCATCACGTATCATGTAACACATTACATCACACGTATCACGTAATATATTAATAACATCACATAACACTTAACATACTGCATCAAATGAATCACGTATGTGATGACGTAACAGGTACTGATGATATAATATGTAACGTGATATTATGCGATGTAACATCGTTACAGGACACGTGATGATATAATATGTAACGTGATGTCATGCGATGTAACATCGTTACATGATACTTGTGATGATGTCATCTATCACGTGTCATCTATGAATACGCGCTTCGTGATCGCCACCTGAGACGCTAGTATGACGTGGCGTGGGATCGTGATCGCCACCTGAGACGCTAGTATGACGTGGCGT